CCCAAAAAAAGGTGTGTTGTTAGCGCCGCTAACAGTTAGCGTAGTGTAGTGGGCTGTAGCGCAAACTAACACTACACAACAAAAGGTTGCTGCAACAGCAGCTACGCTAACGCTAAATGGCCATTTAGCGTAGCGTAGCGTAGCGGCCCACCGTTGTCATCACCGAACGAACTCAAAAACTCACCTTCTACCAACCAGAACACCAACTCACAGAAAACAGAAAGCACCATGGAGAAGATCAGCTCCACTATATTCAAAATGGCTCTCGAGGCCATTCCCCTGCTGACCACCGACAACTACACCTTGTGGAGAAATCGAATGGATAACATGCTCAACTTACAGGGGCTCCGAGACTCACTCACTTCAGAAAAAGGCATTCTGACTTCCAGCGACGATGTGTCACTTTGAACCATCATCACCTCTAAGCTGGACTCTTCCATACATCCAAACGTCATCAACCATGAAAACGAAAAGGATGCTCGGAAGATTTGGACTTCAATCACCAACTACTTTGCGTCAACTCAACCTGCTAATCGAGCTCGAGTCTTTAATGAACTCCTCGATCTATCCTTCAACAACTCCAACGTCCAATCATTCATCACTTCGGTTCGAACCATCAATTCCCGACTTTTTGAGATTGGCATCGATCTTCCTCAGGATCTTGTGGTGTACATTCTCCTCAAAAAGCTTCCGTCATCCCTCACCAACGTAAGCCAGAAAATCACCCATTCGGGCAAAGCCCTCACCAGCAATCTTGTTCTTGATCACCTCCGCACATACTCCAACAATCAAGTCGCGATTGCTAATCGAGCCTCAAACTCAAAAACAGAAGTTGTAGCGCTCTACTCGGATGCGTTGAAGAAATGCAAGAAGACGGCTCACAATGTTCTGTCTAACCATCCTGAATCAAGTTGTTGGATGCTTTATCCCCATTTGAGGCCAGCCTCTCACAAGAACTCTCGAACGGAATCTTCGGTCAGCAGCTTTCACACATCATTCTCTCACTCCTCATCTCAATTTATTCTTGACTCTGGTTCTTCAGCTCACATGATATCGAATTTGAATCTCTTCTTCGCTATTGACACCACAGAAAAAGGAATAGTTCATACTAGTTCAGGCAACGATTCACTCCAGATCAAAGGGAAAGGTTCAATCAAGCTAATCAACGAATACGAACCGATCATCTTGCATAATGTTCTATATGTTCATGATCTTGTTGTCAATCTCCTCTCAGTTAGATGCTTGGTGCTAGACAATTATTGTGTTGAATTCTCAAAAAACTCTTTCTCTATTACCAAACATGAGCAATTAAAAATCACCGGTCACTATATTTGCAATCTTCCTAGCATCTCTTTTGCCAATGCAGAGCATCAATCTCACTTTTCATCTGCTGAGTCTCTTCATAAATCTCTGGGACATGTCAGTTATCATCACATCCGACATAAACTTGGGATTCCTCTGAAATCTGAAAAGACTTGTGAGGCTTGCTCTCTAGCAAAAATCACTAAAGCCTTGTTTAAGTCAAAACACCTTCCTGCCTCGAAAGCATTTGAAGAACTCCATCTTGATCTTGTTGGACCAATTACTCCGATGTCAAGAGAAGGGCACCGCTATGTCATCACGGTGGTCAATAGTCATTCAAGATTTGTCTCTGCCATTCCTATCAAAGCAAAAAGTGATATATGTAGCTTCCGTCTTGACCGACACTATTGATCTTGAAGCAAAACGCTTCGGATTTTATCCGAGCATTCTTCACTCGGACAGAGGTACTGAGTTTATCAATTCCACTCTGCAGGATTTTTGTAAGAAACATTTGATCCAACAAAGAACGTTGAATGCTTACACACCCCAACAAAACGGACTGGCTGAACGACACAATCGAACAATCCTAGAATCACTGCGTACTATAATCAAGGATTCCGGACTCAGCCTCAAGTACTGGAGCGATATCATCAAAGTCAGCACCCTAACTCTCAATCATATTCCTGCACACAGAAGTAAGAAATCTCCATTTGAAATCTTCAAGTCCCGATCTATTCCCATTGACTTCTTTCGACCCATTGGTAACAGAGTGTCATACCTTATTGAACCCGAGAATTCATTCTCTAAACTCATGCCGAAGGGAGAATTAGGTACTCTGATCAGTTACGATGACAAACTTCAAACATACAAGATTCTGAACGACATGGGAAAAATCATAAAAGTGTTCCTATTCTTGACTATCTCAAATCTAAGACTGAGGATTTAAGAGACACAGAAGATTTTCAAATTATCAACAAAGATGAAGAAAATTGCAAAGAATTGATTTCTCCTAATCCTGTCATTATCGAGATCCCGGAAGAAGAAGAAATCAAAGCAACTACTCATCAAGAAACGATATCCATCGACTCTGACTCATCCTCCTCAGACGAAGAATCAGAAGAAGAATCTGACGATGATGACGAAGATGTGTTGGCTGATCTCGTTCCGAAGACAACCACAAATGATCGAACTCTTCAAGATAGAACCTCAAAAGTCAAACCCGTCAAGTACTCACATCTGACCGCTGATCCTGCATCATTCAAGAAAGCCATGGAGTCTGTTGATAAAAACAAGTGGAAGGCTGCAGCGGAAGAAGAACTGAAGAACATTGAAGGACATGAGGTGTGGGACGATATGTGGAAGAAACCAGATTTGTTTCTACACACTCTTTGGATCTTCAAAACAAAACCAGGAACGCTATCAGCTAATGAACGCAAGAAGGCTCAACTATGTATTCAAGGTTTTGCTCAGCTACCTGAAGAGTGCGGTAATAACTTTGCCCCGACTGGAAAATTCACAACCCTCTTGATTGTACTGATGCTAGCCGTGGACAAGAAACTACCGATCAGGCAATTCAACGTTAAGAGTGCTTTTCTTTATGCACCTCTGAAGGAAGAAGTCTATATCAAGACTCCTGAAGGATCAAATCAGCAAGCTCCATACTTGAAGCTCAAGAAGTGTCTTTACGGACTCAAGCAGGCGCCAGCAAATTGGTACAAGACACTAACATCCTGGTTTGAATCAATCCACTTCTGATCCCTGTCTGTATAATCATGAAGATAAGAACTCTTTCATTTTTTTCACGTCGATGATCTAGTAGTCGTTGGCAATGTAGAAGTCTTCAAATCACTATTCATGAATCGTTTCCCCAACTCAACCGCTCATGACCCAGAGTCCCTTCTTGGAATGGAAGTCACTCAAGAACCCAAATCGATCAAGCTTTCTCAGCTGAAATTAATTCAAAAAGGTCTGGAAATGTTGGACCTTCTGGAATCTCGACCGGTAAAAACTCCTCTTTCTGTTGGTGTACAACTCAAAGCTGCAACTGAAGACAAGAAGAAAGAATTTGACAAGTTGGATATCAACTATCGCTCCTACACCGGGATACTCAATTTCCTAGCATGTTGAACTAGGCCTGATCTAGCTCCTGCGGTCTCAATACTGTCCGCCTACAATCATGCTCCGTGCATCACACATTGGAAGCAAGTTCTTCACTGTTGGAAGTACCTTCTCGGAACATCAGATCTCAAGCTCAATCTCACACCAGACTCAACGGATTGATCCTCTGCCTTAGAATACTTCATAGACGCAACTTGGGCTGATGATCTCGAAACGTGAATCTCAAGAAGTGGGACGATCTGTTTCTGGAAATCGTGCCCAGTGTCATGGAGTACTAAGAAACAGAAGAACATCACCTTATCATCAACTGAAGCTGAAATGAACACATTGTCCGACAGAGCTCAAGAGAATCAATGGATAAGTTTTCTAGTCGAAGAGCTTTGGAAGGAAAAACTCAATCCAACTGAATTTCATGTTGATAATCAAGGGTTAGTTGCAAAAATAGAAAATTTCGGCTCTCACTCAAAAACGAAACACCTCGACATCAAAGGCAAATGGCTCAGAGACTTGAAATCCTCAAACCAGATCAACGTTCGACTCATTCCATCAGAAGAAATGGTGGCAGACGCACACACCAAAGCAAGTAATCACCAATCTCTACAACGTCTCAAGGAACGATGTTTCTTAGTCATTTTCTCACGAAATTGAGGGGGTGTTGGAATTTCGCCTGCGCTCCCCAATCTCCGCTCTCTACGCGCTCCGCTCTCCGCGATCTCTTCCCTATTTTCCTTCTCCGTTTCTCTCTTGCTCAATTCCTCCGTCTTCTTAATCTTCTTAATCTTCTTAATCTTCCAAAAACATCTCAGATCCTCCAACCATCACTCGACCTCTCCCTCAATTCTCATCAACCATCCGCAACCGAACCAGTCTCAGTCTTCAACCGCAGCAACCACATGTCAAACACTCAATCCACAAATATAAAACCCTGTTCCCTTTCGTCCTCAATCAATCTTTTCCCCAGCAGCTTCATCCCTCACAACGCTAACACGCAACGACACTTTCTCCATCAAAGTCCTCAACTGCTCGGACTTCTTACCTCAACCCTCAACAACTAACACCATTCCCTTCTATCTCGCCATCCGACTCCATTTCTTTTTCTCTCTTTTTCTCTATCTTCTTTCCCTCATCTCTCTCCTTATTCACTCACATCAACGCCGACTTCAACTCCTCTCATCATCCATTCAACCATCAACGGTTCTGCTGGCGCCGACTCTCTCTCTTGACCTGCTCACTTGGCTTCTGCCAATTTGGTGAGAAACTGACTGGATATGTTTCTCTTCTTAAAATGAAGATCTTTGTATTGACCTTTTGCTCTCATTATTTTGTTGTTCTCTCCTTTTTTGATCGCCTAGTGTCTACTACTTCTGCCTATTTGATCTCATCTATTTCAGTCTTTCTATTCTGTCTAAGTCAAAGCATAACTCCCATTGTGGTAGGCATGTTTTCTCATCCATCTTTGATGTTCTCATAATTCATTGTTTTTTATCATTTTCTGATATTTTTTCTTTGTTATCTTGTTTTTAGTTCTGGTTCTAGTTTTGGTAATCAAACCTGTTTTTCATCAATAATCAAGATGAAACTTACGCAGCTGCAGAAGCAGTGAATGCCCAACAGACTGGGTGTCCTTTTCCAACAATTGGATCCCGAATAACAAAAGTGTACAAGCTGAACTTGCGTCCACACGAGAGAGATCGATTGTCAACAGAGTTATGAGTACTGTCCAACATCAGCATGCCCCACCCATGATCGAGGAGTTGTTGTCTCTGCCAGGGTGACTGAAAGGCAAAAGTGAAGTCGGAGGCATCGTGGGAAGCAGGGAGGTATGTGTTCCATCCTTGCTGTTGAAGGTTCTGATGCCATAGAGTGATTGAAATGAATGGGTCTGGGTTCCGTTGGGCCAAGACACCCATGCGAGTACGGATAAGGTGACGGACATGGTCGTACTTGATGTACTTGCCCTCAGGTCTCACTCCAGAACTGCCCATCTGGATTGAATGCGGAGAGCATGCTGTTAGACAGGTTTGAGACTCAAGGGTAAATGATGGTTGATGAAATTTGTACACTCACAGCAAATATGTTGGGACAGAGAATCAACTGATGGATTGCTTTCCAACTGAGGCCTGAGATAACCCAATCAGTGAGCCAATCTTGTACCATCTTAGGGATGTGGTTCTGCTTCATTTCTTCTGCCAAAAAGGGGTCGTGATTATGTTTCCACCGCCGTTCAACTCTGAATGTGTCGGTTTTGAGGTGATGGAAAATTCTAAAACCGCTTGTGCAACCACACTTTTTAGAAAGGGTGCGGCTCTTCCGTGAATTGGGAACTGGCTTGTGGACTCCATTGCGAGGGCACTTATAGTCAAGCCGGAACAAATACTCTATTGGTTGGCCCTTCCCACTTGGTGGAGCTAAGAGAGCTTCGATGTTAGACCGAGGTCATTTAGAGCTCCAATAGACAGTTGCCTGCATTGCGGTGACAAAATCCTGGGCTTCTTCTAAAGTGTGACCGGGTATGGTGAAGCAATGAACAGGGGTTGGGAAGGAAGGTGCACTTGCGCCTATGCATCGAACCATTCTCAAAGAGTTGGGAATGATCTTCTGAAGAGGTTGAACAGGTATTTGCTGGGTGAAGGGGAGGGGAACCACATCGTAGATGTCGGAAACCAAAGGGTAGGTGGGTGCGGTAGAATTGTTGGTGCCAGTGGGTCGCTTCATTGCAAAAGGTGGACCTTGGGAAAATAGGAGGGAATGTGTGAGAAATGAGAGGAAGGTAATTATAGTGAAAGGTGTTTGATAAGGCAAAAACGGGGGTAAGAGTTAGAGTGAAAACTAGCAGCAGAAAAGAATTAGTAGAAAATTTAATGGATCCACGTGAGACAGAAACAGCAGCAGAAAAGAATTAAAGTAAACCTCGATTGTTCAAAGCAAAATTATAAAAGTGATGCAAAAGATTATAAGGAAATGGTATGCCACAGGCATGAGGTAAATAAATCTGTAAGAAAGATGCTTGCTGTGGGTTATTAATGCAGAGAGAGGATATATTAAGTTGGTCGGAGAATTAGAAGGATCAGGTGGGTAATTATTGTTTCGGAAAGGAAGATGGTTAAATTGATCTGGCAAAAATGCAACTGGTAGTGCAAGGTTAAAAAACAAGCCAACAGAAGGAACACAGAACGGTTTAAAGTAAGAAAATAAAGGCCAGCCTGTAAATTTGGGCTTCAAGTGGGGGGACAAGGTTTGGAAATTCTGCTGGAGCGACAAACCTAGACTTCTTCAGAAGGAGAGCTTATGTATTGGATGAATGCCCTTGTAATAGCGGCCTTATCGAAAAAGATTGTGGGTCTTTCCCTAGGGAGTATTGAGTACATGGAAAGTAGCAGGATGCTGTCAGCTTGTGAGTGGAGGTAGCCCAATTTGTGGATGACCAACATCTGCAACAGGTTTTCCGTTGGGAACTCGGGAATTCCACACATTCCCGATTAGCCTTGGATGATTGACTTCTCCCTTTAGGATCTAGAGGACCTGCGTTGTCTTTATGTATTTGTGTCTTACTTTTTGCTTCTAGATTCGACCACCGCCAGGAGGGTGTTCCAAATTTTTCAAAATGGGAGTTGAATTTTTTTTTTGATTTTTTTTCACTTTTTTTCAATGCCATTTTGTTTTTTTTTCTTTGAAGTTGATTTTTTTTTGAGATTTTTGTCCATACAGTCAAACCGGTCTAGCTGCATACCTGTCTAAGGGCATAAACCCCCATGCTACATACTCATTTGAGTCCACCAAATTCTCATTTTTGCCCTTAGCCTACCCTTGTAACCACATAACCTGCCAAACCACATAACAAATTCTTTCCACCAAGGGGTATGTGGTTAGAGAGGTTTGACTGTATTACATAGCCTACATTGTATGTAGACTTATCAGAGCACCCGCATCGGTGCGCAACTTAAGTCCGGATTAGGGTAATTAATCCTACTCTTCAACCACATCGGCCCAAGTTAACTTGGACTAAGTAGCTCCTGGAACAGTTTTAGAACTAGCGGGTAACAAATCTACTACCCACTAATCCTTGGATCAAAGTCGCTCGGAACATCCTTGGATTAAGCAAGACTATCTCTTGTACACACCTGTCTTCACCCTCCCAACTACTGAACAACACACACCTCCTTCATTTATCCTCAAGATGCCACCAAGAAAATCAAAAAATCAAAACATCATTCCAAATCAACCAACAACCCGAAACAACAACACACCCAACTCAAATGCCAACAATAGCAACCCACCGAACTCAAACAGCAACCCACCCAACTCAAACAGCAGCCCACCCAACTCAAACAGCAACCCTCCAAACTCAAATGCAAAGAACAGCAATCCGGTGATCCCAGACTTACCACCCTCAGAGAAACCCAAGCGAGCCCCAAACTTCTCACCTGAGGAGGACGAGCAGCTTGCGAAGAGCTGGACAGTCATATCAGAAGATGCAATCACATCAAACAATCAGAGCAAGGAGATTTTCTGGGAACGCGTCATGGAGGACTTCAACATGTCTACTAGCGGGCCTCGGCGAGATGAAAGTGGTTTATCAACAAGGTACATAATTCTTATTTTCTATCGCATTACAGAGTGACTTTATATACTCATTTTTGTCTGTTGATGAAGGTGGAAGGCTCTCCAGAAATCTGTTCTCAAGTTTGGAGCCATATACGATCGCCTGAAGAACAATCCGGCGTCCGGTTCAACACCTGAAGATTGGCTCATCAGTGCCAGGCAGCTATATTACGAGCAGGTCGGCAAACAATTCATGTCCGAACTCTCTTGGAATCTCCTCAAACACGTCCCAAAGTTCCAGAATTTGGCTGGAAGAGCGAAGCCCGGGACATCTTCTCAAATAGCTAGCGAGTCTCAAATTCTTTCTCAACCTGCGACCGACTCCCCACAGCCATCTTCTAACAACGCCGAAACACCGACATCAAAGAACTGGGAACGACCGCTTGGCGCCCATAGCTCAAAGCGCAAGGTTAACGAAGAGGAATACAAAAGAAAAAGAATGAAATACTGGGAAGTCTCACACAAAGAGGCGCTCAAAAGAAGTGTTGAAGCGAAGCAATCAAATGATATTCAAGAGGATCTTGTCGCGACCGAAAACAAGAAGATCGACCTCAATTTGATGTTCCAAAATCCCAACTCTTGCCCAGACAAAATATCTCGTCAATTCTTAATGAAGCAAAAGGAAGAGATATACAAGAAGTACAGCAAACCACCCAGCTCTCGTGTGCAAGCCGAGTCTTCAAAATCCGTGACAGAACGCTCTTCCGAACCTTCCTCCCGAGTTCATACTAGCGATTCCGAGCCAATTAGGGACAAGACTAACGAGAGTGAGAAAGAATATGAAGACGATGATGAAGATGAGGATGATCAGGATGATGATCTTCCCACTCACACTCAGATCCTTGATATCGATGATTTTAGCCAGTCCCACTAGCCTTTATTTTTTGCTTGATTTGAGCATGTCGCTCCGGTTTCTCACTATATTTGTCTCTCTAGGTTCTCACTATATTAGTTCCTTCTGTTATCTTTCTCTCGATATAAACTATCAACTGTAAAACTTTATAACAAACATCGGTTTGAGGAAATGAAGAGACTGAGTGGAAATCCAGCAAGTGAGACAAGTGAAAAAAAAAATTGAGTGAGTGAAATAAAAAAATCGAGCAAGTGAGAGACAAGTGAAAAAAGAAGATCGATCAAGTGAAAAAAAAATAGATCAAGCGAGTGAAAGAAAGGAGAATACAACAGGATATCCTAATCAGAGTCCTCAAGAGGTTCATCAAGCACGGACTTGCGGTTTCCAGACTTGTCCCACAAGTGCTTGATGAGGGCGTTTGTGAGGTTTCAATGAATCTGGGCCGATCGCATCTCGATATCGCGTATGTGTTGATCACGAAGGCTATACGGCGCAGATCTTGGGGGGATTAGCTTTGTAGTAACTGGCAGGGGAGGGTACTGCCTTCGTTCGGTTCGGTATTCAACTATCATGTTATGAAGGATTATGCAAGTCCTCATGATGGAATGCATATCCCCAGGGTACCAGTTCAGCGCCGGTTTGGTGATAATCTGAAATTGTCCTTGTAATATTCCAAACGTTCGTTCAATATCTTTCCGAAACAATTCTTGCCTCTTTGTGAAATATTTAGTTGGGTCATCTTGTTTAGCAAGCCCCTTGGATTGAATAAGAGTCGACCATTCATAGTAGATCCCATCGGCCAGGTAGTAGGGATATTTGTACCAATGGCCTTGAACTTCAAACTCAACCCCCCAGCCAGTACCAGCAATGATTGGTTGGAATAAGGGTGATCGATCGAGTACATTCTTGTCGTTTAAACATCCGGAAGTTCCGAAAAAGGCGTGCCATATCCACGTATCCTTTGATGCCGTTGCCTCTAGAACTAGTGTCGGTTTTTTTTCTTTTCCTTCAAACTGCCCACTCAAAGCAGTGGGACAATTTTTCCAGGCCCAATGCATACAATCAATACTTCCGATGCAGCCTGGAAACCCTCTGGCGGCGTTCTCTTCAAGTATTCGCTTAAGGTCGTCTTGATTTGGGAGTTGCAGATAGGTTGGTCCGTAAATTGCCTCGATAGCATGGCAGAAGTTCTCCAAATTTTGTCGGGCAGTTGTCTCACCCAATCGACAATATTCATCCGTAGCATCGAGAGGAACTCCATACGCCAATTGTCGTAAAGCAGCGGTGAGCTTTTGGTGAGGGCTCAATCCCAGTCTTCCAGTACAGTCCTGCCCAGAAAATGAAAAAGTTATTGACTCAATTTGATCACTAGTTATTAACAATGGACTTACTGGCTTGTGTACAAAGTAGGGACATTGGTTGGTGATATCCTGGAGGATCCGGAGGAAAAGGGGCCTCTCCATTTGAAATCTTTTGGCAAATTCGGCTGAGTCATAGGTTGGGTTTTCATTGAAATAATCGGTCATCAGT